GGAGGGAGATTAGAGAGAAAGAGTTAGAAGACTAGACGAAGAAAGGCAAGCTCACAAGCTTTCTAGAAGAAGGAGAAAGGGTTGGAAAGCTCGGCAAGCTTTTCCACAGAAGGGAGAAAAAACCCTCAGATTTTTGGCTCCAAAAATCTCATCATAAACTCTTTTTTTAAGCCTCAAAACATCATCCTATTTTTAAAGAAAAGGGCAGCAAACAGCCACCAAATTAGGGAATATGGAAGACCAAAAGACACCAAATAGAAGGCTTAAAGCACAGCAAACGGAAGGCCAAAAGACGCGAAATCTGCTGCAGGAAAATTGCACATAAAACAGAGAAAATCCCATGGATTTTTCCCCCAAACAGCCACTAAACATTAATTAAACCTATTAGATTTAGGGAAATGAAAGGCCAACGATCATAAACTCAGCCCCAAACGGTACAACAAAGAGAAGAAAAGCCACGGGAACCAAGCAGCCAGCCGCGAGAACCAAGCAGCCAGCCGTGGGAACCAAGCAGCCAGCACCACGGTAAACAGCGCCAGCCACAAGAAAACCAGCCAGCACAGAAAACAAAGGGCCAAGGCACGGGAACAGCAAAAGCCCAAGAGAAACCGAGGAGACAAGAGGAACCGAGAAGGCAGCATGGGGAAGGGAAAGGGCAAGTTCCACATAATGAGCTTCCACTAATCTTAAATAAAGAGATAAACTTTAGCTCATTATGAGCTAACCAAGAGCTCAAGCATTAATGAGCAAAAAATTAACTAAAAATCAGAATTTTTAGCTCCATACCAAGAGATATCAAGCAGCCCAAAAAAAAAACAAATATCCATTTTGTTTTTGACACCCCCCCCCACCCACCCTTGCATGCCCAAGTGGCAATGCAATATACCCGTAATCTTCAGCTAAGGATGTGTTAGAAAGAGGTAAAGAGATAAGAGAGAGTGTGTATTTGAGAGAGAGGGAAAGAGAGAAGTAATAGAGAGAGATGGCAAGAGAAAGAGGAAAAAAGAGCAAGTGATGGAGAGAAAGAGGGGATAGAGGTAAAGTGAGTGAGAGAGGGAGAGTGCGAGTATAAGAGGGAGAGGGAGAGGGAGAGAGAAAAATAAAAAGCAATATATATATTAGAGAGAGAGTAAGCAAATAGAGAGATAGGAAAAAGGGTGGGAGAGAGAAAGGAAGAGGAAGAAAGGACAATAGAGAGGTAAAGAGAGAAAGCGAGGGACAGAGAGATAAAGAGATAAAGAGAGATGGAGAGAGAGCAAGACAAAAAGAGACTAAGAAAGAGAGGTTGAAAGATATAGAAAGAGAACATAATTGGGAGATGGAAAGCGAGAGATCGAACGAGCAAGAGGGAGAGAGAGAGAAAGAGGGAGAGAGAGCAACATAAAGAGAGTTGGACCCTGTGTCTGTGTATGTTGGATCATTTCGATACCAACATATGATAGCCGAGTGACCTGTTTTATTACAGATCTGACAAGTGGTATTGCGGTGTGGATTTCTATCTCCTCTGTCTCCCCGTCCTGATGGTTGTACAGATCGACGACCTCTGCTCCCTCGAGGATAATTGTATCTCCCTTGACCCCGATCGCGAGATGCAGCGAGAGTCATGGAGTTGTCCGTCATGTTTAAAGATTGAAGATCACGTGTTGCTTCATTAGTCGGTATCTGCTCTTCACTGCATAGTAAGCTGCAAGGATCATCTAGATTCAGTGGTTGTAGATTCGTTCTGATCGTCGTTTTAAATGACTGATAGGAAGAGGGAAGTCCACTTAAGGTGTAGATAATCACGTCTTCCGAATCGATCTTGCTACCAGTTGTTGTTATGGCGTCCACCTTAGATTTTACGTCAAGAATATATTATGTCATAGTTTTGCTGCCTTTCGAGAGGTGATGTAATTCACTTTTTAGTTGAATTATCCGAGAGCGGTTTGTAGCTTGAAGACGATGCGAGAGAGTGGTCCATATGTCATAGCAATGGGTTAGAGTGCGAACATAAGGCAAGATTGACGGCGAGATTACCGAGTATAACACAGCAGCGAGATTTTGATCTGTGAGTATCCAATTATCATGTGAAGTTGTGACTCCAGTTGCAGACGATCCGTCAGGAACAGAGGATTGCGATGGACATTTGGATGTGCCATCAAGAAAACCTTTAAATCCATTTGCGTTGAAAAAAATTTCCACTTGACAGCTTCAAATTGAACAATTTTTAGATGTTAAATAATTTGGAACTAGATTCTTGATGTTACTCATCAAGAACTTGAGTTGAAGAGGTATAGTTGTAGTAATGATGGAAGAATTTGAATTCATCGTAGGTGAGTTGGTGGATGATCCAGCCATGATTTGTAAAAAAAAATGCTAATATCTGCTTTAGCGCTCTGATACCATGAAAAACTGCTTGCTGTCAAGCTTGCAGTGACTTTAATGAGAAGAAATAGAATAATGCAGAGAGAAATGAGATGAGATGGATAAAATGATCATATCTTATTTCAGTTTGTACATGAGTATTTATAGGTTATTTTTACAGTAGACATTCGTACAGGTATAAATCGAAATAACAGAAATGTCGGCTGAACTCGACTGCATGCTTAGCTGTTTGTTTCAATTCCATTTCATTCTTGCCTATCTATTAACAGTTCAGTCTTGTCCATCATCATTTAATAAAGAGTTCTACTACATTCATCAGGCTTATGATTAATTATTGATAACTTAAAACTTTATGTCGGATCTCTGACATCCTTTCTCTCTATCTATCTATTTGGTATATTGTCTCTCTCCTACCTTCCCTATCTCTAGACATTGCATTATATTCTGCAAGTTAATGAAACATCAAGGACATCAATGTGCTTGCTCCATCATTGCAACTCACTTCTTAGTATATGATATACTCTAAGCATTGTGTCAATAACGTATATATTATTGAGAGTGTATCATGCATGATAAGCTACCTCGTATTTTGTATATAAGAGAGAAATAAAGGGATAACGTATGAAAGAATAGTGAAAAGAATAATTGAAAAGAAATAAGAACAGGCTGAACAGCAATAGAATTCATGCATGAGAGAAAATGAGGGAAAGGAGGCAAGAGATAGGAAAGAGCAGCAATTATCTTAGTTTCTCATGCACTCTTTATCTTTCCACACACTCTTTTACATTCACTTCCAATGCTACCCCACCCTGAATCCTACTTCCTAGAAAAATTATTAGGTAAGAACTAGATAAATAGCTGTGTGTGAAAGGCGGGAGTACGCAATTGTTTACAGCCTTTTGCACGTAAACTTACGTTCGTAGTTTGCACCAAATAATTCCTCCACTTTTTAATATTACCTTGACTTAGTTGAGATTGATGGTGCCCCATAAAAAGAAGGGTCGAGGGAAAAAAAGGCAGAAAGAGCAAGGAATAGCCTATGTTTTTCCTTATTTAGTGAAATAAACTACTATGCAAAGAATATTATAGGGCACAAATGTGATAAGTGGATCATGCATGACACTGTTATATTTAGTGCATGTCATATTAACTCAAGAGCAAAAATTATAAGAAAATGGGAGAGAAAACAAAAGAAAGAGGAACAAGGGTATTGATGAAAAAAAGGGTGGGGGTTGTGGGAGAGGAGTGAAGAAGAGAGAAAAAAGTCAAAGAAAAAAGAGAAACCTCCATATCCTCTCTCATGATTTAACTCCTTGCTGGTCATCTCTTTCCTTCTCACTCTCTCTATCATCATCACTAACTATGTTAATCTCTCTCTCTCTCCTCATCCCTCTCCATATTATATTTTCTTTGCGAAACACTTCATCACCATCCCCGTATAACTTCTCCAATCCTTGTTATCCTCCTTTCCTCTCTTCCCTTAATTGGTGAAATGAAGAAAAAGAGGGACGAGTGAGACGCTAATTGAACTAAGAGATTTTTGTTTCCATATAAAAAAAATAGTGGTCAGGTTAGCAAACCAAGATAATAGTGAGGTTGTTAGCAAAATTGCCTCTTCAAAAAATGCTAGAAGAGTGAATGGGTTTGCACATATAATAAAAGAACCTCTCAAGCCAAAATTTATATTGCTTACGCAAACATCAACTGCATTTAAATTATGTGGACTAAAACGTCTAATTATACCGACATACTAAAACCATGCATCAACAGCTTTTGCCTTGATATGAGCAAGGTGAACAAAAACTAAGCAGACTCAACAGGTAGATCTCTCTTCAAAATATTAAGCAAAAGCCTCTGCTTAACATGTTGGATAATATTAAAAAAAGACCCAGAACCAAACATACTAGCTAGCAATATCAAAGCATTTAATGGGTTGCCAAATTCTCACAACAGCATATTTTGTAGTCTTTGAAGGTTTTGCTATAGACATTGAATACAGGTTTAAAAACATCATGAATAACGTTATGATCTCTTAGAGGTTTGGATCTATAAAGACAATATATGATCACCAGAGCAACCTGAACAAACAAAAAGAAAATGAAAACAGAACATTATCAGGCCATATGCTACCTGACGGACAAGAGTCCACTTGATATGAGCCGCATTTACGGACTGCTTTTGCACATAAGAATGCGAAACCTTGCCCCCCTCCTCCACCACAATCTCCACCACTGAATTCGACCAATAACTATTCCCCTCGCCACTCTCCACCCCGAGATGCTCCTCGACGATCGCTAGCTCAGCCTGTTTCCCCACAACCACTAAAACCCTAGGGTTTGACAACGGCAACCTCCCTGAACCTGCCTCGGCCGCGTCAACAGCGCAAAACCTCAAATGCAACGGCTCGTCAATCATCCGCTCTCCATCAGGAATGTAAACCACCGCTAAATCGGGAGCCCCAAACCCGTTCAGATTCCAGAAGAGGTCTCCGTTGTGGAATAGTTCGCCAGCGGCGGCCATGAGGTTTTCGTATAGTGCACCCGGGGGAATATCAGCAGCACTTCCGGCAAATGCTCCGGCGGGGAGGGAGGGAATTTTGGAAAGGGCAGGTACAACGTGGCCATCAACAAGTGTGATTATGTTAGAAGCAGAGGAGGATAAGGAGGGGGAGATGATAGATGGGGGAGAAGCGGGAAGGATTTGAGAGGATTTGAGGAAGGATGTGTCGGTGAAGCGATAGAGTTCGTCTTTGGGAGAGGGCCATCGTTGGGAAAGGAGTGATTGGGAGGAGGAGTCACGAAGTTTTTGGAGGAGGGAAAAGGATGAGGACGAGGAGGTGGAAACGGAGTCCTCGAGCTTGTCCGCTATGTCGAGGACGAAGGGATCCGAGAGTGAGACAGAAGCAGGGTTGGCGGCAGCGATGGATTTGCGGCGGGGTGGAGGGCGCAGGCGTAGAGGGGCAAGGGTGGAGGAAAAGTTGGAGCAGCAGCAGTAGGCCATGTTGCAGTTTTTTTTTTTTTTTTTCTGAAAATTTAAAGAATATATGTAACATCTAAGAACCTAAATTTAAAGAACTAAATATATTTTTTATTTTATTTTTATTTTAATCATTTAATGGGAGATTATCAATTTCTTATGAACAACAAAAATAATTATGTATACTATTTGGAGTCTTATATGATAAAATCTTTACCCTTTCATGAAAATATGTAAACCACATAATGAGCTCATAGCCCAATAGGTAACTAAACTCAATGTATGAAGAAATGAAACAATATATTGTAAATCATATAAAAAATTTATTCATCAATATCTATACTGATTATATATACTAATTGCTCAATTTACAATGCATCACATCTCAGTCTATTATATCATCAGTCATAACATCAGTAACAGTCAATAATATTAATGTTAGTAACACATATCATTATCAATATTAATAACGATAAATAATTTTGATGACAATAAATAATATAAGTTTTAGCCATAATGTCAATACAATATTCATAACAGTATTAATATCAGTAATCATATCAAGAATTAATCATCAATAACATATCAACAATTAGTATTCAATGAGAGTATCTTATGGGTATTTTGTTTCTATACTTATGACTATTAATCTGTCACCCCTTATAACTCTCAATTAGTGTACTCTTTATAACTCCCTTGAATCACGTGAATCAGTCGCCCCGACTCCTTAAAACAATTAATCAATCTCCAGCTCATGATTCTCAATCAATGAATCATGTAGATCATTATGGTATCACGTGAGGTTATCATATCATGCATTTCATATCATTTAGTACTTCATGTTTCCAATATCAATATCACATTTCAGTCCATATCAATTATATTAATAATTTCAATGCTCATTGTGTTGCAATATCAAATCATAGTCATCCATTTTTCTATTTACTTCACATAGAAATGCATATGCATATATTTAACCAGCAAAAATGTAATAAATTAATATCATATCGTTCAAAATTATCAAATCTATAACATATCCAAACTTCAACAACTAAGCTTACGAAATCAGGAGATAATGTATTTTTTGTAGATTTAGGAGAAATAAAATCAGTAGAAATTAAAGTCATTGAAAATATAAAAAGAGATTAGTTACATAGAACGAATGGAATAAAATTCGTAACAGTAGCGACAAGCAAATGTGATCCAAAGACAATTCTCTCTCCTTTCTTCTATTCTTCTCCTTCAATTTCATTGTGGCTAAGTGAACAAGTGAGAGAGGGAATGCGGTGAGGCAGAGATTTATATATTTATATTATGCTATTTATATATCTAATACCTAAAATTTTAATATTTTATAGCTAGCATCCATATAACAAATATGGGTGTAAGGAATGAAATATTAAAATTTATAAGGTGGTATGAGTAATAGAGCTGAAATATAGGAGTGACATATCTCATATTAAAGTTGTCTATGGTGGTAAGCGCGAAATATTAAAATTTTAGATATTAAAATATAAATAACATGCATGATATAAAATAGTATGTATGTAAATCCCCCAATATATATAATAATAATAATGTATATCAAAATAAAAATTGCAGCTCAAAGGGTAAAGTGAAAAGAAAATTAGAAGAGCTGTTACAAAAAAACTGTGCAATGCTCAAAATAAACATAATATAGATAAAAAGAGAAAAAAAATCTCAAAAGATTAGATTCAGAATACAAAAATTTCATCTGATTAGAGCTCTACACGGTTTCAGGGCCTGGCCGAGTAGGTCAAACCCTGCCAGGGGGTGCTGCTCCCTTGGACCCCCGACATATCTGCAAAACGTACGATGGCCGAGTACATAAACAAACAAGAGTCAAGCCAAATTCTAGATAGCTCCATCAATCACAATAATAAAAAGCTTGTAACGTAATAGACTACATAGTAGCAAAGTGCAATCACAATAGTTATAATATAATAGATTATAACTTTGATATAATATATTGTAATCCTAACATATACAACATAACAAGCTATCTTTGATGAAATAGAGTGCAGTCACAACATATAAAATATAGTACAATCACATAGTTGTAAAATGATAGGCTATAACTTTGATACAAGAGTGTGCAACCATAATAGCTATAACGCATCGTAATTAAATGTCTCTTCCTATGTTTTTGCTGAGTTTTTCAGCCACTTAATACTAATGAAGTTAGTTTCTTCCTATTCAAAATTTTCACCCAAACATAACACTTAAAAACTTTTTTATATTACTATAAAGAGCTTAAATATAACCTTCCAACTTTACCTTTGAGCTCACATATTTAAAGCTGCAATTATTTAATTTTTACATTCTCATGACTATAGAGATTAAATATCTTAGAGAGATTATTCTGTGCGGAATTCGAACGCGTTCGAAGGTTAATTCGGACGCGTCATGTCATCCAATGCACTGTGCATTGAGTGTTTGGATTAGCCTTCGGACACATCCGGACATCACACGTAATAATTTTCCAATATCCTACCAAAGCATTCAAATCTAAATAATCAAAAACAAAAGATTAGTAACCTTAAACAAAAGATGATTAGAACATAGAAATCATCGTTTTGATGCTTTATCTTATGCTAATCATAATATCTTTGAGATCATTAGAGATAGAAATAATTTTGTTTGTTATTTTAAAAATATAAATAAATAATAAGTATATTTAATCAATTATCTCGTAGAAAAATGCAGCTCAATCATAGAATGTCACCAAACAATCTCTTCTCAGGGGCCATAGATAAAAATAGTTTTAAATATTTCAATGGGTGGAAATAATTTGTAGTCATATTTTTTTTATTTCAATAAGGTGAACTAAATGCTTAAGATTTAATCCTATAGTTTTTATGATCTATGAAATTATTTTTAAACAGCTCCATTTTCTTATTTCAATGGAAGGAATTAAACCCATGAGTTAGGCTTTGTTTGAAACGATTTTTATTATTATTATTATTTTGTAAAAACTATTTTTAGGTAAATTTTTTGAAAATAGTAAAAAACATAGTAATTTAAAGATGTCCCAAATGAAACATAAATATTAGGGGTGTCAATATTTGATACGACCCGAAAATCCGACTAGAAATTTTCGGATTAGGGTCAACCAATTTCACAAATAGGTTAGATTCGGATTCCAAGATTCAACTCTTTTGAATAAACGGGTCGGATCCAGGTCAATCCGCTAACTTGAATTTGACCCGATTCCTCAACTTCTTCAACGAGCGACAGCGAAGGAGAACGACGACGACATGACTACAAGGAGGGAAGAATATATGGTGACGACGGTGAGCTCGCCTCCTTCGACTACATTCCTTCTTGTTGGGTCATAACTCGGAAGACACGACTGAACGGCGATGACGACGAGCTTGCTGTTCTTTTTGTTGGGTTGGAAGTAACGACGATGATGAGACTCATGAGAGAGGAAAACGACGACTACGGGAGGGAAGATTGGTGACGACAACGAGCTCTCCTCCTTGGATGCTTCGACGACGCTCCTTCCTGTTGAGTCGGAACTCAAAGTCACAACTGCTCGGCGACGATGGTGAGCTTGGTAGTAAAGACGATGACGGATTGACCCGGTTTGGCGGGTCATATCAGGTTGACATGTGTCCTAAGTGGGTCGGGTTCAGATCCAAGAAAGTGATCCGTTTTAAAAAAATGGATCATATCGGGTCAACTCGTGTCCGGTCAATTTCGAATTGAACCCGAACCCAACTCGTGACCCAATTTTTACAACCCTACTAAATATGATAACTAAATTATCAAAATTTTATTTCAATAAATTCACAATCAGATATTTAATACTAATATAGATATTAATGATATTGATGTGTACAATGTGTTTTTAGATTAAAAAAATGAAAAACAACAAATTCAAAAATCTAATTTCATTTACTCTTTTTCTCCCTTGCAATAAAAAAAGGGAAATTTACATGAATACCACTTTATACTATCCTATTTAAATGTCTAACATCAAAAACTTTAATATTACATACATACCACTCTATATTATTTTAATATCAAATATACCACTCATATTTCTTTC